CGAACAAATTATATGGTAAATTTGTTATAATTATACTCTAAAGTATATAATTTAGTATAATTTAATTTACATAATATTTTTTCTTTTTCCTCCAACGAACAAGATAGAGATGGATATGACGAAGACGGTGAAGATGAGGCCACAAATGACCATGATGGGGATGGATTTGACGAAGACGATGGAGATGGAGATCATAAGGAACCAGAGACCAAATATGGATTTGACTAAAGTTAAGTGATTTTTTTTTTTTTTATCCTAAAGACAAAAAATTGAATTTCAAATTTATGGTTAAGATTATAAGTAATTATACTATTAAATTACATGATTGATGATAATTAAATAATTAATTAAAGTTAAGTAATGAGTAATTAAAATTAATCATGTTTTTATCAAAAAAATAATAATAATCATGTTTAAATTCATTAATTAATTATTGAACAAAGCCACAAAAATTTTGAATTTTTGCAAGTGGGCCCAATATGTTTAGATGAAATGTTACATAGACTTAAAAGTTGGTCTACATCATCTTTTTTTACGGTATAATTTTCCATATCATTTACGTAAATGTCAGTCTATGCTGTCTCTTGAGGGTGGAGGATAAAAAATTATTATTATGTAGTAATTGTGATTTTTTAAAGTAAAATTTTACATTAAAAAAATAAGTCATGATATTTAATTTAAAATTGACTAATTAAAATCTAATACGTAATACTTAGAATTAAAATAAAAATTAACTTTATCTTTTTATAAGACAAAAATTAGCAATTTGGTGGTTCCATTAAGGGTGCAGAATAAATAAGCTGTTTATATTAAGAAGAAATTTGGTGGTTCCATTAAGTACGAGTCAAGCCAACAAAAACTTAATAGTGGGACTCAAATGGGGTTGGAAAAATAAAATGTAGGGACTTAAAAATGGATTCTTTTGAGTTTAGGGGCCAAAAAGGATGGACAAAAGTTGAAGCACTAAAATGAAGTTTTAACTTAAAAAATAGTATAAAAAAAAAATGAGTACCCTATTTTATTATTTAAATTGTATTAAATTATAAAAATTTAGATGAAATGTTACATAGACTTAAAAGTTTGTCCATATCATCTTTTTTGACAGTGTAATTTTTCATATAATTTATGTAAGGGTTTATCTATATTGTCCCTTAAGGACATAGGATAAGCAGTATTATTATGTAATAATTTTGACTTTTTTTTCTTAAAAAATTAAAATTTTACGTTAAAAAAATAAGTTATGATTTTTAAGTCAAAATTGACTAATTAGAATCTAACATGTAATATTTATAATTAAAATAAAAATTAACTTTATTTCTTTAAGATAAAAAATAATAATTATTTAAAATAAAAAATAACAATTATTATATAACAATTATTTCTCATTCTATGCCTAAGAGTATAAAATAGATAAACCATTTATGTAAAGAAGAAATTTGGTGGTCTGATTAAGTACGTGTCATTTGTCAAGTCAACAAAAACTTAATGGTGGGACAAAAAAGGGCCCAGGAAAATAAAATGTAGGGACTAAAAAATTAATTCTTTGAATTTCAGGACCAAAAAGGACGTACAGAAGTTGAAGGAGCAAAATGAAGTCTTAACTTAAAAAGTAGTATAAAAAAATAAATAAGTCCTCATTTTACTATTTTAATTATATTAAATTATAAAATAAAAACTATTGAATGAGGATAGTCTCCATGTTAGAGTGCTCGCTGTTTATTTAATGCACTACAATAAATTTGTTATATAGTTACGGAA